TGCTCCACAACTACCGCGTGCCCAAGGGGGTGAGCGCCGCGCGGGGTCACGGGGGGTCACGGGGGGTCACAGGGGGTCACGGGGGGGTCACGGGGTCACGGGGGGGTCATGGGGTGACCAAAAGTCTTGGATTGACCCAATGAGGTCTTGGATTGACCCAAAATCTTCGCTTGGTCCAAGATCTTGGATTGACCCAAGGTCTTGACTTGACCCAACGGGGTCTTGGCTTGACCCAACGAGGTCTTGGCTTGACCCAACGGGGTCTTGGCTTGACCCAAAGCTTCTGGCTTGACCAAAAGTCTTGGCTTGGTCCAAAGTCTTGGCTTGACCCAATGAGGTCTTGGTTGACCCAACGAGGTCTTGGCTTGACCAAAAGTCTTGGCTTGGTCCAAAGTCTTGGCTTGACCCAATGAGGTCCTGGAGTGACCCAAAGTCTTGGCTTGGTCCAAACTCTTGGCTTGACCCAAAGTCTAACCTTGACCAAAGGTCATGACTTGGGTTTTGGCTTGACCCAAGGTCTTGGCTTGACCCAAAGTCTTGGCTTGGCCCAACAAGATTTTGGCTGAACTCAAAGTGTTGGCTTGACCCAAACTCTTGGATTGACCCAAAGTCTTGGATTGGCCCAAACTCTTGGATTGACCCAAAGTCTTGGATTGGCCCAAAGTCTTGGATTGACCCAAAGTCTTGGATTGACCCAAAGTCTTGGATTGACCCGAACTCTTGGATTGACCCAACGAGGTCTTGGATTGACCCAAAGTCTTAGATTGGCTCAATGAGGTCTTGACTTGGTCCAAAGTCTTGGCTTGGCCCAATGAGGTTTTGGATTGACCCAAAATCTTGGATTGACCCAAAACCTTGGACTGACCCAAAACCTTGGATTGACCCAAAACCTTGGCTCGGCCCCAACTCTTGGCTTGGCCCAATGAGGTCTTGGCTTGACCCCAAAGTCTTTGCCTGGGTTTTGGCTTGACCCAAAGTCTTGGCTCGGCCTGGTGGGGTCAGCGCTGGGCCGGACATCCCGGTGACTTCCGGTCACTCCCGGTCACTCCCATTGACTCCTGGTCACTCCCGGTGCCCCCCGGTGCCCCCCAGCGCCCCCCGGTGCCCCCTGGTCACTCCCGGTCACTCCCATTGACTCCCGGTCCCTCCCGGTCCCTCCCGGTGCCCCCTGGCACCCCCTGGTCACTCCCGGTCCCTCCTGGTCCCTCCCGGTCCCTCCCGGTGCCCCCTGGCACCCCCTGGTCACTCCCGGTCACTCCCGGTGACTCCCATTGACTCCTGGTCACTCCCGGTGCCCCCCGGTGCCCCCCAGCGCCCCCCGGTGCCCCCTGGTCACTCCTGGTCACTCCCATTGACTCCCGGTCCCTCCCGGTCCCTCCCGGTCCCTCCCGGTGCCCCCTGGCACCCCCTGGTCACTCCCGGTGCCTCCTGGTCACTCCTGGTCCCTCCCGGTGACTCCCATTGACTCCCAGTCCCTCCCGGTCACTCCCAGTGCCCCCCGGTGCCCCCTGGTCACTCCCGGTGCCTCCCGGTCCCTCCCGGTGCCCCCCGGTGCCCCCTGGTCACTCCCGGTGAGTCCCATTGACTCCTGTTCACTCCTGGTCATTCCTGGTCCCTCCTGGTCCCTCCTGGTGACTCCCATTGACTCCCGGTGCCCCCGGCGCCCCCCGGCGCCCCCCGGTGCCCCTGGTGCCCCCTGGTCACTCCTGGTGCCCCCCGGTGCCCCCTGGTCCCTCCCGGTGACTCCCATTGACTCCCGGTCCCTCCTGGTCCCTCCTGGTGACTCCCATTGACTCCCGGTGCCCCCCGGTGCCCCCCGGCGCCCGCGGTGACGCCGCGGCCCCGCAGACGCTGTGCCAGGTGGCGCTGTACGCCATGGGCCGCTGCCCCGAGGTGTTCGCGCAGCCGGAGCGCTACGCGCCGCGCCGCTGGCTGGCCAAGGACGCCACGGCCTTCAAGGCCTTGGCCTTCGGCTTCGGCGCGCGCCAGTGCATCGGCCGGCGCCTGGCCGAGGCGCAGATGATGCTCTTCCTCGTCCACGTGAGTCGGGGGTCCCGAAAAACGGCCCCGGGCCCGGCGGGGGGCGGGGGGGACGCCACCGGCCGGGGGGGTTCGCTCAGCGGGGTCGCGGTTCGGAAAAACGACGCGGGGGAGGTTCAGGGGTTGGGTTGATGCAGGGAGGGGTGGGGCGAGAGAAAACCGCCTCGGTTTGACCCAAAATCTCCTGGGTTTGACCCAAAACCTCCTCGGTTTGACCCAAAACCTCCTTGGTTTGACCCAAAACCTCCTTGGTTTGACCCAAAATCTCCTCAGTTTGACCCAAAACCTTGGTTTGACCCAAAACCGCCTGGGTTTGACCCAAAACCGCCTGGGTTTGACCCAAAACCATCGAGATTTGACCCAAAATCTCCTCAGTTTGACCCAAAACCGCCTGGGTTTGACCCAAAACCGCCTGGGTTTGACCCAAAATCTCCTCGGTTTGACCCAAAACCGCCTTGGTTTGACCCAAAATCTCCTCGGTTTGACCCAAAACCACCTTGGTTTGACCCAAAACCTTGGTTTGACCCAAAATCTCCTCCGTTTGACCCAAAACCTCCTCGGTTTGACCCAAAACCTCCTCGGTTTGACCCAAAACCTCCTCCGTTTGACCCAAGACCACCTGGGTTTGACCTAAAATCTCCTCGGTTTGACCCAAAACCGCCTTGGTTTGACCCAAAATCTCCTTGGTTTGACCCAAAACCTCCTTGGTTTGACCCAAAACCTCCTTGGTTTGACCCAAAACCTCCTCGGTTTGACCCAAAACCGCCTTGGTTTGACCCAAAAACTCCTCGGTTTGACCCAAAACCGCCTCACTTTGACCCAAAACCATCAAGGTTTGACCCAAAACCGCCTCAGTTTGACCCAAAACCGCCTCGGTTTGACCCAAAACCTCCTCGGTTTGACCCAAAACCTCCTCGGTTTGACCCAAAACCTCCTCGGTTTGACCCAAAACCGCCTCGGTTTGACCCAAAAACACCTTGGTTTGACCCAAGACCGCCTGGGTTTGACCTAAAATCTCCTCGGTTTGACCCAAAACCTCCTTGGTTTGACCCAAAATCTCCTTGGTTTGACCCAAAACCTTGGATTGATCCAAAACCATCCAGATTTGACCCAAAACAATCTTGGTTTGACCCAAAATCTCCTCGGTTTGACCCAATGAGGGGTGGGGTGAGCCAAAACTGGTTTGGTTTGACCCAAAACCATTGAGATTTGACCCAAACCCCCATGGCTTAACCCCAAACCTTGGTTTGACCCAAAACCACCTCAGTTTGACCCAAAACCTCCTTGACTTGGCCCCAAACCTTGGTTTGACCCAAAACCCCCAAGATTTGACCCAAACCCTCCGAATTTTACCAAAACCCTCTGGGATTGACCCAAACCCCCCCAAATTTCCCCCAAAATCCCCAGAATTTGCCCCAAACTCCCCGAATTTCCCCAAAATCTGGGGAATTTTCCCGAATTCCGCGGGATTTGCCCCAATTCCAGGTGCTGGGGAACTTCTCGGTGGAGGCGGCCAGCGCCGAGGACCCAAACCCCCAAATTTCCCCCAAATTTCCCCCCAAAACCCCCAAATTTCCCCAAAATCTCGTGAATTTTCCCAAATTCTGCGGGATTTGCCCCAATTCCAGGTGCTGGGGAACTTCTCGGTGGAGGCGGCCAGCGCCGAGGACCCAAACCCCCAAATTTCCCCC